AAAAAAAAAAAAAAAATAAAAAAAAAAAAAAAAAAAAAAAAAAAAAAAAAAAAAAAAAAAAAAAAAAAAAAAAACAGGCTTCCTAGAGGCCTGTTGAGGAAAGAACTTTGAGTGGACTAGGAAAATGAAAAATTTATGATGCTATGTCAAGCAGTGCTGTTATATCTACCTAGTATCTACATACTTTTCCATTTTTCAAAAGCATACACTTCGAAAGAAAAATAAGAAATTTCTTGTGGAATTGTAACAATGAAGGGAAACTAAACCATTTAGTTGATTGAAAATTTATGTCATCATCACCCAAATTAAGGAAGTGGAATGAAGCTTTGATGAGAAAATGGTCATTAAGGCTTGCTAAAAAACCAAATGAGTTATAACTTATGGAGCAAGTAACATAAGCATTTATGAGAAAGATGATCTAGGTTGTTTGAAAAAGAGAGGAAATTATTCCAAGACCAGAGCCCTTAGAGCAACTTATCAAACTAAAACCTAGAAGAACATATACTTTTTGAACCGAACCTCAGAACAAAGATTGAAGAGAACATCCATTTATCAAGGTTCCTCAAGCTACTGTAAATTCATTTTTTAAGAGAACCATGACTCACTATTCCCATTTTCTAAGAAATGACCTTCCAGAAAATGACATGCTCTTTGTAGAATAGTCAAATCCGGTTGGTTAAAAGAACTCATAATTAACCCTGAAGATTAAGTTCTTTTCAACTCCCTGCTAAAATAACAATTCTTCTTGGCTCTTTCTCGGATAATCACCAGTTTTAAGACCATCCCATCCAACAATGAAGCAAGAGCATCTCCTATTTTTGGTATCAGTATATGTTTCTCAGTTTCAAACTCCCTACCTGAAATGAGCCACCCAACTCAAACGAAATTCCCTTTCCCAACAAGAATTCAAAGATTCAATGCATACCCACAACAATGTCAAATGAAAAATATTATCCGAACAAAACGAAAGCAAGCAGAACTTGAAGGAAAATACCTGTTTTAAATCATTCCCAACATCAGGAAATTCCTTCAGAAGCTCGCGTACAACCACTTCAGGCTCAATAGTTCCCAACTTCCGCCTCTCAAACTCGCTATCACTAGAATTCCCTGAACGTGAGGACTCAGCATCACTTTCAGATCCATAATCATCCCTCTTTCTCTTGGCCTCCCTTCTCAATTTCTTCTTTCTCATCTTTCTATCTCTCTCCCTATTCCTATCTTTTCTCTTCCTCTCCCTATCTCTAATCCTCGACTCTCGCTTCTTGTCCTTCTCCCTCCTTGAACTGCCACTGCGGCCATGGCGGCGCGACCGCATAGAAGAGCTGTCCGAGTTATCTGAAGAGGACGGTGACGATGAAGAAGGCTCTGAATACTCAGTACGCTTCTTCTTCCTCCCACTTCCCATTGGAATTTGCAGAGATTTAGTTGGATTGCAAAATTCAGAAACTAGCCCAAGAAAAGAAAAAATCAGTGCCGGGCGGCGATTCCCTACTGGGCGCCGAGATTAGCGCGCCGCTGCGGAGCAAGGACAAGCCACCACAGAGGTGATAGAACTTGTTCGCCGTCGAAGAGAGCTTGCCGTTGTCAGGAATCGGGTGGCCGGAGGGGTTTGATTGCGTGGGTCGTGGCGTGAAGCTTGTGGGTGGGTCGTGGCGTGAAGCTTGTGGGTGGGTCGTGAATCGAACGCCGGCGTTGCTGATCGTCGAAACAGCCCCGATGGGCGTAGTAGTAAGGGGTCTACTAGACGAAGAGAAAGAGGTAAAGGGTAGAAGTTTTCTTGCCTCAGCGTTCTTGGCTTTGGAAAATTAGAGTTAATATTTATATTTTATTTATTTTCAATATTTAAATATTATATATGGGTAAGTAATAGTCCGTAGTTTGTATTTTTAAATAAGATACACCCCTTCCATTTCCATTCTATTCATCTTTTAACATATTAGGTTCGTAATTACTCAATCAAGTTTTAAATAAAATATATTAAAAGCAGGAGTGTATATTCCATTAGACAACCAATAACTCCGACTCAATTTAAATTACAAGGTTCTTATCTAAATATAAATTGATTCAGTTCGATTACAGGTTTATGGAACAAAAATTTTGAGTTGACCCAAATCGAACAAAAATTTATAAAATATATTAAGAAGTTTGGCCTTACTACATCTACTTACAAATAACTTACTCTAGTGGAAAACATTTTTTCTTTTTATTATTTTATTTAATTTATTTTATATATATTCTTTTTTTTTTTAATATTTCAATATTGTATACCATTTTTAAATATATTGTTTATAACATAAATAAATAAACCACTATTCATACTCTTTTAAAAAACATGGTTTATAATACAAAGCATATTGTTTTGATTTTATGGATTAAATCAATACTGAAATTTTTATCCGTGTTCATGTAACATCTTAACATAATTCAATGTTGTCGTAGAATTAATGGCAACTAAATACCAGTACTTCCTACTCTAAAAGTAAAAATATAATGATAGATCCTAAAATTAAAAAATAATTATTTCTAAGGAAATTATAACAAAAAAAAAAATACTTCGATAGCCTTAAATTATCTGGAAAAATATATATAGATATATAAAAGTTGCCATAAATAATGGGTTGCAAAAGAGAGATAATAAATAAATTAGAACTCGAAACAATCCCAGTTTAGAACAAAAGATCTAATGAAACTAATTTTTTATCAATGCAATTTTGTGTTCATTGTTTTAAGGGTAAAAAAAACTCCTATAATAATCAAGAATGCTCCGAGCCACACTAAATGTTGATTCATAAGCTACACTAGACACTAGAATAGTCAAAATAAACAAATCAATCTATAATAATTCAAACAAACAAATTCTTCATTAACAATAAACAAGAATCGTAACATCCCATCATGTGGTGTATCATGATGTTCATGTTTTCTTCATTTAGGTTGGATTTTCCGCGCTAGCTTTAGTAGGATGACATATTTCTTGATTTCCTCAAGTAGATGGGATGTTGCATACCAATTTTAATTGGATATCATGTTTTTCTTGTCTAGATGGGATACCTTGCATCATGTTTAGGGGATGTTCGTCCATGCTTGGAAGTTCATTATGCCCGTGTTAAGATGTCTCGATCACGTTTCTTGCAAGATTTCACATTCATGTTGTTTACCGATCATGTGACATTTTAGGTCTTCATAGGGAGTAGTCATGAGGCATGATGAGGATAGCTACTAGGTTGGTTGACGACATGACATGACTCATGATACAAGACGTTAAGAAACCAAGATAAGTCTCCGGTTAGCATAAGAGGGTATATTACCTTAGTCATGAACCAAGAATGTACATGAGAATCCATGAAATCCAGGAAGTCTGATGATGGCATGACACTCATGAAAGACCGTGTACGAAACTAAGGCTCATAAACTTAAATTGATGCTCCAAGGTCAAGGACTATGTCAAGAAGGATGACAATAAGAAAATGCACCACCTAAGTCTTGGCTACCATAATATGAAGACTATGTCAAGAAGGATTTCTTTTGTATTTTGTATTTAACTCAAGTGGATTTTAAACTTAAAAAAGCTTATTGTTTAAAGATGAGGCTAAGCTTATCTCATCACTAAAATGAAGATTGCAAAAACATTAATGGTTTGTTGATCAATTTTTTTATGAGTGATTATGTTCGGGAGGCCAAGGTGACCTCATCAATCGAGGGAGGATTTTGGGAATATGGTTGATTTTCTCCATCATCTTATTAATCCTTTAATCTGGCGTGTTAATGACATAAACGAACCATCGCTGTTTCTAAAATTCAAATAGGGGAAAAAAACATCTTACAAAAACTTTGTGCATAAAAGGACATTTATACTGAGAATAACTTACGAATTTTTTCATTTTCTATATGAATTGAGCTAGGAGAAGATCGAATTAGGCCAAACCAAAGGTACCACGAATCGAGGGCATGCCACAAATCAACGGATAATTTGGATGTCTTTCCGAAGGCAGAATCATCATCATTGGGCCACCCTACCTAAGTTATCCTTTTACATTTCTACTATAAATATACAAATAAATAAAATATATTAAAAAATAGCAAAAAAATACGACTAATGAAAAGTATTTATTAACTAATTTAAATATTTTAAAAACTTTTTTGTTTTATATTCTTTTAAAAAAAAAAAACATAGAAAGATTTTGTTTTAAAAATACCTTTCAATGTCATCATTTATAGGAGTCTTGAAACATTCTAACATTTCATTGCAAATCTTAACCGTTTTAAGATAAAAATTTGTTATAGATGATTTGTAAGTCTGTTTGTGACCCAAATCAAACACGATCGTCACTTCTATCTATTATACAATCTATGTATGCTAAGGTTGAGATGAAACAGAGATAGTAATATATACCTCAACCACATAGTATAAAGTCTAAACCCACATCAATTGATTTCATATCCCTTTATTATCAACAATAATATTAAGAAAATACCTTCCAAATCTATTATAACTTATGACGAATTATTAGAGTACAAAAGACCACTTTACAATAGATACCAAACAAAACCAGTAAACAAAGAATTGCTTACATGTTTTATAGAATGTGAACTGATTGCCGATCCTACTCTCCTCCCAATTGTATCTTCTACGCAGGTTCACAACCCAATCCTGATCGAGAAAGGAAAGATCTTGCCAATGAGCAATATTTTTCCTTCTGCTTTTTATATTCCTTGTAACGCAGGAAGAAATAAGCAAGGTAATCGAAATCGATCGGAGACATCCTTGCCTATAAAGCAGGAGGATAAAACGCAACATTTTGGTCAAATAGTTCATGGTTACTGTTGTTACAGAGAATAGAAGAGCAGTGAATGGAGTAAGGTACGTACCTGTATAAGCGCCCATAAAGCCCAATATAAGTGAGAAGCTAGCATGAAGGTGTTTGACTCCACGTACAGAGCTTCAAGATCTTTGTGAGAAACCTTTCAGAAAATTACACTACTTCTGATTAGTATATGAATCATGTATAACCCAAAAGCACATATAAATCATGTCAACACACCTCGTCTGGTTTTTCGGGTTGCAAATAATGCCTGAAGAAATGATACTGTTCCTCCTTGGATGGATAACTGCTCAACCATTGGTAAACTAAAAGTTAAACTCCAATGTTCCTATATTTTAGAATGAAAATTTCCAGATGAAAGGAAGGTTATGAACCTACCAGCTATAGTCACAGTCATAGCCGGCATATTCATTGAAGTGATTACCAATGTCAAAGCCTCTGTAACTGTATGATCCGTACTCGAAATCAATTAAGTAGAGTCGTTCTGTACGTTTGTAAGAAGCACAATGAGGTCAATAGGATGAGCGTATTATTGGGGGAAAGCACAGAAGTCATACTAAGACTCGCAACCAATCCTTGGTCGTCAAGTTCCCTCTCACTATTCTGAGAAACTAAATTAGCTAACCAGAAGAAGATCCAGATATGAAGTCCTATGCCAATGTTAAACCACACATACTACCATTTTATCTACTCCCACATCTCCTAAGTTGTTCAATTTCAACAGTCAAAGCCACTCCATATTGTCCCTTGCACAGCTAGAGTTTTTTTTTTTTTTTTTTTTTTTTTCCTTTTTAACAAGAAAAGAACTTTCTTATTGATGGAATTTAGAAGACTAATGCTTAAAGGATAAAACTCCACAAGGAAGTAAAAAAGAATAAAAAAAAAAAAAAACAGCCCAAAATACCAACATAACTGATAACAAAACTCTAATTAAGAAAGCCAAGAAGATAAAGAAACTTGGAGCCCTAAACGAAACAAACTTGGCAAGACTGAAGCAAGGGCAATGAGAAGAACCACACCCCACCAAGCGAGATAGAACGACACCAAAAGTAAACCACAAAAGGAAGGCCACTAAAAAAACGCTGCCCTTAGACCACCTCATCAGAGAGGGCAAAACCACCAAAAAACAGAGGACCGTAGCAAAGAAGCAAATTAACAACTTGAATAGAAGTAAACTGCAAAGGCCCAATAGGATCCCAGATTAGACAGATTCCTTCACAAAATGACAAATGAAGAGGAATAAAAAACCCTTTGACTGAACTAAAAGAGACTACACACAAGCTGACAATTTAAACCCTCTGAAAAGGCAGAAAATATCCAAAACAAAATCTTCAAAAACGAACCCTGGATGAAACAAAATCTAACTTGCTGTAGTCGGAGAATGAGGGATTTCATACACTTCAAGCCCACATCTAACAATAAAAGAGGAAAACTTCTCAAGCTTTGAAAAGGTTTATCGATGGCTTGATCTTCCACAATTTCCCTAAAATCCATTTTATATTAGGAAATCTTAACAGCTAATCAACTGATAAAAAGAGAGAGCCCATATCTTCTAGGAAAGCCCCCCAAGGGGAGCGACCACCCAAAAATCTTCTAAATCTAAACTACTAATGCTAATATCAGACTCTTTATCAAAATCCTCATCCAAATCCTCCCTCCCAATCTTGATATTTATATTCCTTCAAGTCCATCATTTGTCACATTAATAACACCAAACGACAAAGATGGAACCAAAGAAATGAGAATCTCTCTGATTTAGATCGTTGGGAGGCAAACAGTTGGTATAAAATCATACGAGGGGTAAAAAAACCTAAAACCTCTCCTCCAACTAAAATCATTTCAGAGAAGTATTAAGAAATCATTGGGACATGCAGAAATATTTATTTTCTACGGAGGAACTTCTTAAAGTCATCACTTCAAACAGGTAAAAAGCTAAAACTTAAAATAAGTAAAACCAAACCAAGGAAGAATTACTTAACTTT